GCCTCCCAAAATGCTAGGATTAGAGGCGTGAGCCACTGCACCCAGCCCCATTACACTACTTTTAAATTCCAAGGATGAAGTGATTGTAGCAAAAGGTTAGCGTGAGATAAGCTGGATCACTTACTTCATTCAAATATATATGTTAATCTGGCATTTCCAGGTTCAGAAAGTGCAAGGCCATGGGAAATAAGAAATGTCCATGTTTCTTCCTCTGTTTTTCTGTCCTGCTCAAACATTGCTCCTTTGTGTATATTCAACTTTTGAGATGCACTCTTGAATTATTTTAAAATCTACTTTTTTAGAGTTCAAGGACTGATCTGGTTAATTCTTTTGCTAAAGAGGAAGTAAAGCCTTCTCAATGAGACTTGATGTAAAAAGTCCACATTTGCCAGGCAAACAGTCTGGATTACTGGCATTACAAATGGATTATTTAAAATGGTAGACCCTCTGGTGCATTTAAGTATTTTACAGATCATTGACTGCTTGGAAGAGAGCTGGGAAACAGACTAAAGAGGGAGATGCCATTTCCACGTAAAGATTCTGCTTTTCCAGAAAGGAAAAATAGAGACTCTCAGAGATTCTAAAGTTTCCTCAAAGGGAAAATAAGTTCCTATTTACAGAAATATCTCAGGAACAACATGCGGTGAAAAATGAGGCACAGAGCTATAAGACAACTAGCAGCAGCCTCCCTGCTATGGGCCAGGCCTTGGACCAGGTGCATTATGTATTACTTCATTTAATTCTTCAAACATCCATGAAATGTAGTATTATTATCCCCATTTGCCAGATAAAGAAAATTAGGCTCAGAGAGTTGCAAGACAGTTTGGAGCCGAGATGTGTGCTCAGGTCTCAAGCCTAGCTCTTTCCATATTGGAAAAACACCAAACTGAAAACTGAGAGAAGTTGATGATATTGCCCAAAGTGATCACGCGACACCGACAAATGGAAGTTGCCTTCCATTTCTTTCCTTAAAATAAATCACCCCTTAAAGAGTTGGGTGATTTGACAGAGTCCTCAACAGGGTAATAAACGAGAGAGAAGTCAGTGTCACCCCCCGTACTCTAAGAAAAATGGTTGTCTAACTATCCTATATTTTATTTTGCATCCCTTTTATTATGCTTATACTTCGCATTATACAGAATTATGAATTATTGGGCTTAGGAATAAAAGCGATGACAGAAAATGAGCTTAAAGGCAAATAGTTGTGTATCCAAGCACCTTTAATTTAGCGATGCTTTAAGCTGTAGCCAAATGCAGGTGTATAGATGAATTGCTGTTTTTAGCAGTCACATAGACTAAGGCATGGATTAAGGTGCATTGGATTAACACTGGCCTTTGAGAACTTGCAAGTTCCAGTGGTCCACTTTGCTTTCCCCTTGTTAGGCATTGCAGTCTGCAGGTCTGTTTGCTGTCACAGAGGGCCGGAGGGTGGCAGGCTGATTTTGGGAATCAGATTCTGGGCTGCCAGGAGAGCAGAGATTATGAGAAACTGGGTGCTTTTTGTAACACAGTGCAGAATTCAAAGTGATTTTCACACACAAGCCACAGACAGCATGCCACAATTTGTCAAAATAAAGAAAAAGGAGCCAAGATTTAGAGTAGGAAGATCTGAACTCAGGTCCCAGTTCTACTCCTACTACCAATTGCAGACGGCCTGGAGCAATTCTTAGCCATCCCACAAAGTGGAGATAATGATAATACTGACTTTGGAAAATTGTGAGCCTAAAATAAGATAACTAGTACAAAATGTTTTTATAAACTGCTAAGTAATCATATGAAAAATACTAGTTAATATTATTTTAATTCACTTAGGAGGATCCAGAGTAGCTGTCTTCCTAATTGTCATCACTTGGTGGCCAGAGGTCTCTGGTCTTGATGGTTCTTTTATAATTTGTGTTCCAATTTACCTACAAATTATGTGTTTTCTTACCAAATTTTTCGCTGAAACTTTGTTGTTTGGAAGTCCCAGTTCAGGCTGGATCTAAAAAGGGCAGCCCAATCAAACTGCATTTTTTAGTAAAATGTAGACTAGAGTGGAGGGTGACAGGGGACTCTAGAGGGGGTCAATGGGGAAGGGGGGCTGCTAAATCCCTGCTCTAATAGTTACTAACTGTGTCTTTGCTTCCTCTCTTATTAAATGGGAGGATAATGAACAGTAACTATCATGTGGACTTTTTGACATTAAATAAAATAATACATAAGTGCACATATAAGAATAACATCTATTGGATGTTGGGCAGCGGGGAGGGGGGAGCAGGAAGGAGGGGACGGGTATTTGCATACACAAAGAGTGCAATGCGCACCACCGAAGGATGTACATATTTGAAACTTGGACTTGGTGGGGGAGGCAAGGGCAAAATACGTAACCTAAACATCTGTACCCCCATAATATGCTGAAATAAAAAAAAAAATACATATGGAGCACTATGTGCCTAGAACATAGTAAGTGCTAAATAAAGGTTAACTATTATTATTATTATTGTTATTAGCAACTCAATGTTCTTCTCACAACAAAGCTTCCTTTGGTGAGGTCCAAGGCAAAGCTGTACTGAACTATGTCAGTATGCTGAACCATCTTAAGGTATGTTCCAGAGAGTCGGTTGCCTACTCTACCATACCTAGAACATGTCCCGGGTCAATGGCTCGGTCATTCGAAATGTAGCCATCTTCAGTCATTCTTAGGCTCTGAAGGTAACTCCTTGCAAATGTGATCTGATTTGATTTAGTTATTTTTTCCATATAGTAATAGCCGATTTCATTGATTTTTAAAATTAATTCATTAACTTTCAAATTTCCTGTAAGGATATTTCCCCCTCCCTTTTGCTCTCCTCACCTGTCCTCTGCTCCCCTGTTCCTTTGTTCCTTGCTCCTCCCTTTCTCTTTCTGTCTCTCTCTCTTCCTCTCTCTCTCATCTCTCTCTCTCTCTCTCTCAGAATCTGTTCTAGGCCTGGCTGGAGCACACACATGCCTCGAACGCAGCCCTTACCTACAGTTCAAGAGAAGTGAGAAGGTGGATAGGCGAAGGGTAGAATGTGGTAAGAATCTCGAGTAGCCTGATGGTTTGGAGATGAGAAGACCCAGAGAAATTAGAGAGGTTCCCAGGGTGTGGACTTCGAGCTGGAGTCCGAAGGATGGTAGGATGTAGCCCTGCGAAGACTTAAGGAGAGGAGAGTGGGATGTGTATTCCAAGCGAAGGGGGCAGCAGGAGCAAAGGCAGGAAGGTGGGCTCCTCCTGCGGAGAATTAATGTTATAGATTAGCTGCAACGACTATAATTTCTCCTGTCTGCCTTTTGCAGAGTCAGCTAGGATCCTCTTCATAGCAAAAGTGGATGTGGTGGAGACAATTCCTGACTCTGACATACATTCCCCAGGCATAAAATTGTTCCTGGGCTTGACTTCCCTTTTTCCCCTTAGCTCCTGAGGTTTGCCAGACATCCAAGTGGGTTTTATGTTTAGGATTTACCCATTCAGATTGAAACTACTGTTATTGTCGTATCAGTCTCTAAGGGACCATTGCGGTGTCTGTTCCTCAATCCAGTGCTGCTCCCTCTTATTTAATTTCATGGTGAAGTCATCAGAGCACTGCAAAGGGAAGCAATTTCAATTAGGATCAGGCAATAAGGTGTCTTCTTCAATCCCACCTGTGCTAGCATCTTGACAGTTACCTTGGGCACATTCGGTGCATGCCTTCAGTCTCTTTCATCCATTCGTCAAACTCTCATTGAGCAGGTCTCAGTGCTCCACACCAATGGGGAGACAAGGAACAATAAAACATAATCCCTATTTTCAAGATGGCCTAGAAGAACTAAGAGAATACAGGCAGAAAATGATCAGGAGCACAAAAGAGGGACACTTAAAATCTCTCAGAGTTAGTAAAGTGACAGGTTTTTTTTTGTTTGTTTGATTTTTTTTTTTTTCCTGGAGGAAGGGTGTTGAAGAGATTCTTCTGGAAGAGGTGAAATTTAAGTTAAGCCCTAACAATGGGAATGATTTTATTGACTTGGTTTCCTCACCCTCCAAGATCCACAGATACCCTTGGAATGCTTGTTTTTGTTTTTTTCCCCAGATGAAATTTTGCATCTGGCCACAGGCTGGAAGGTAATGGTGTAAACTACCTCTTATCTGAGCATGTGCCTCCTGCCTCTCGAGCTTGGTTATATGTGTCACTGCCCCATGGGCACATCCAGATTCCTCGGTAAATGATGACAAGTCTTTTCCCATCAAGGCTCTCTATCTACCATCTTTCAAAGACATATCATTCTGTCTAGAATGTTCACCAGCTCCAAACATTTACAGAATTATATTAAGCTGATGTTTTTTAGGTCGAATTGTAGCCTGATGACTCCTTTTAACTTCATGGGGATTTTGATGTCTGTTTCCTCAGGACGAATACCAAATTTACTCTCGGAAAAAGGTAATGTGGATCTACCTGTCATCATTAAACAGCGCAGTTGATCTTACTCCTGACCACCCTCTCATTACAGATGAGGAGTGTATCATAAATAGAGCCATAAGAAAGCCAGACCTAAAGGTAAGAAAATTTATGGCTACCACTGATGCCAGAGAAATTTAATCTTTTCCCCCGAAATATAAGGTTGAATTCAGGTTCTCCACTGTACCAATCCTCAACTGACAGTGTAGAATGTTACAAAGAACATGAACTTTGGAGTGAGACAGAGCTCAGTTCAAATCTCAGCTTCATCCTTCTGAACAGTACAGTCTCAAATCAGTTCCTTAACTCTGCTGAGCCTCAGTTTCTCACCTATAAAATGATAATTATAATGCCTATCTCAAACATTAATTGATGAAATTCAATAAAGAAATATTATGCCAGGTACTTAGTAAGTGCTCAACACATATATTAGCTCTTACTAGCATTATGGCCTGTAATATAACTTGTGCAACAGGGCTAATCTTACAGTAAGTGTAGTCACCCAGGAATATCCCAAGAAGTTTGCCTAAGCCTGCAGAATAATCTTACTTTGAGTTCTTGTCATTCACAGGTGTTTGAGTTACTCCCTTTTCATCATATTAAATTAGTACTGCTTGGATTATGACCAGTTAACATTCATATTAAAAACACATTTATAATATAAGAAAGAATGTTTTCTCTTATATTTATATATGTGTAGTCAGCTGTTTAAATTAGTTTTATGAGCTCAAGGTCAATTTTTAAAAATAATAAAAGTCAATTACTGAATAATTTTTCTATTATCAATTGTTATCACCCAGTTGTCTTAACCGCCAAAATAAACAAAAACAAAAGAGATCAGGTACCTCCAAATAACAGAGCCTAATCTGTTAGGTGAATATTCACCTGGAAAAGTAGGCTTCCTAAATCGGCCTTACATCCTCAAGAGTTTCATTGCCCTGAAATTCTAGCATCTTTAATTGCATCAAATAAGTAAGTGGACAGACAAATGAAGAAATGGTCAAATAAATAAATAGAATGTACAGAAAGGGCAGATGTCTTGAAATGGGAAATTTTGATACCCAGGCTTAGGTTAGATATTTTCTTTACCAGCTCATGATATAGGCCATTTTGTTAGTTACTGCCTCTTTGACTCTTGAGTTTCTTACTTATAAAAGAAGGGTAATAACCCCTTCTCTGCCTGTTTCTCAGGGCTATTGTGAATCTAAAATGAGAATATAGAAATTAAAGTGGTTTGTGAACTGCAATGAGCTATATTCATAATATGGGCTGAAACTTTCATTAAAGTCAGAGAGGGCTGTCATGTCATGGGGTTAGCCATGATGACACTAATAGCAATGACAATAATAATACCAAGATGATAACCATTTAAGGCCAGTTAAGGGGAGTTTGGAGATTGCAACCAAGAATTACGTCAGGTTTGCAAACATAGTCTAAGAGGAGACTCTAAGGACCATCTGGTAGGATTGCATGCAAAACAGAAACCCAGTGCTTAACCTGTTAAACAGGATGCTCTTATAACATGTTCCAACAAGAGATGAAGAACAGGAAGCCTGGGGAGAGGAATCTTTCTGATTCCTAAGCAGAAAGATAAAATTCACCCTGCAACAGATTTTCAGTTGCCTGATTACTGTTTCCTGGTCTTAAGTTCCAGGAAATGGGCAAATAAACATCACCCTTTGCAATTATTACCCTTAACATCCTCTTACCAGCTTCCAGAGGCTTTGAGGGTGATGAGGGGAGCAGATAAACTCAGGCAGAGATGTTGCCTGCTGGGGAAATATCAAAGATGCTTAGGTCTATGATGGAACCGTCCTTGTCACTCTGCAAGAATGGCCTCAGAAATTGCCGGAAGGTAATGGAATTTTCCATTTTCTGGACTGAGTTAAAACTTAACAGTAACCTCTTTATTCCTCATTATTGCTGCCTTCATTTGCAGATGTCTCACGTCTATTGTGTTTTATAAATTTCTGAATCTCAGTTTGTGGTTTCACAGCCACCTGATAGACATTCTCTAACTGAGCAGGAGCTTCATATTCTACCGCAATTTGTCCTTTAAAATTTTTCTAACACAGATTTTCAAATTTATGAAATTAGTAAGTAGGCAACCTCACTTTATATAACTTGAATCATGAAATTAAGGGATTTTGGATTTTTTTTGAGACTACCTTGAATATTACATCCTTTGAGAGACTGAGCTTTGGAGCCAGATGGGCTAAAGTTCCAATTCCAGCCTTGCAAGTTACTTAATCAAAATGCACTTTAGGTGCAAAGTGAAGATGAAAATAATACCTGCCCTACCACAGGATGATAAAAAGACTAAAGATAATGCGTGAAAAATCCTAAAATTCTCAATAAATATTAGCTATGACTACAACCCTGCTCTATTTGCAAAATTGCAGGGGATACTGAAGAGAAAAGCAAGTTGTGAGGCAAGAAACTTGAGATTCCAACATGGGCCCAATGGCTGACATGCCCCAGGGCTGGTCACTTTCAAATTTTCTTTCCGTCCTCTCATTTGCAGCTTATGAAGGAAGTATCATTCCCACTGACTATTCACTCCAATTTTATACTGAGAATCAATTGTAAATGGGGTTTATTTTAAATAAGTTACTTTGCAAACAACCTTACTGAAATAAATCATTCTGAAAAATAAAAAAATACAGCATGTTATACTCTTACTTGGTAACTAGTGGATAGGGTTAAAATTCATTTGAGGTAACCTAGATCGTGGAGCATAGGGAGTTAAACTGCATTTCCAGCTGTCATGTGGTTTGACAAAGCATTCATTCATTTACTTAATGAAAAACATATTGAGCACTTATTATGTACCAGCTATATACTCTTTCCAGTTTTAGAATGTATCTAATGGTTATACTGACTAATATTCACAGGTATAGAATATATACATAGGAACTGAAGTGAAACTTAAACATAATCTGTTCCATTGCCTTGATTATTCATGGGGAAACTGAGGTGCAGAGAAATTTAGTTGAAGTTCTCAAGGACACAAGTAGCACAATAGCTATAAAAGGAAGCCTTAACCACTGTTCCTCAGCTTTGGCTGCACATTCGAATTGCCTGGGGCAAATTATTATAAAAGTATTTATGCCCAGGATGCACTGTAGACAAATTAAATCAGAATCTCTGGGGGCAGGGGAGACCCAGACAGCAGTATTTTTTTTTTTTTTTTAATATCGAGGGGGTAGAAGTGTTTTGTTACATGGATGAAGTCAGGGCTTTTAGTGTGCCTGTCACCAGAGTAGTGTACATTGTACCTGACAGGTAAGTTTTTATCCCCCAATGGCAATTATGGCAACAACAAAAATAAATGAATGGGGCTTAAATTAAAAAGCCATCATTTTTAAAGCTTTCTGGAGTCCAATGAGTAAACTGAGAGTATTACATTGCTCTATAGCAATATGACAGTCTCACTGTTTTTCTTTGTGCTTAGGTCATTGGTTCATGAAAATTCAGATTCACATATAAAGTTGCTTAAAGAAATCAGAAGCAACAAGGCACAATTGCCATAAATATTAACCCTTCCCTTTTTATCCCACTGCGAATGCCCTCGGAACCTTACTTCCTAGAACACATTTTTTCTTTCTTTTTTTTCTTTTCTCAGTCTGTCACCCTGGATAGAGTGCAGTGGCATCATCGTAGCTCATTGCATTGTCAAACTCCGGTGCTCATGTGATCCTCCTGCCTCAGCCTCCTGAGCACCTGGGACTACAGACGTGTTCCATCACGCCCGACTAATTTTTCTATTTTTTGTAGAGACCAGGGTCTTGCTCTTGCTCAGGCTGGTCTCGAATTCCTGAGCCTCCCAGAGTGCTAGGATTACAGGAGTGAGTCACCACACCCGGCCTCACATTTTTTTTTGTAATAACCTTTTCTCTCCTTTAGTATTTACTATCAGCCTAATACTTTTCAGTGTTTCTTCTTTTCTCTCTCTTTTTACTTGTTTAATGTGGCTAATAGAAATTTGTTTCTAACTGACACATAATAATTATACATATTTATGGGGTAAAATGTGATGTTTCAATACATATATATTGTGTAACAATCAAAAGAGGATAATTAGCATATTCATCACCTCATACATTTATCATTTCTTTGTGGTGAGAACATCCAAAATCCTCTCTTCTAGCCATTTTGAGATATACAATACAATATTATCAACCATAGTCACCCTACCATGCAGTAGAACACCAGGGCTTTTTCCTCCTACCTGTGACTTTGTACCTATTGACCAACTTCCCTTGCATCCCCTTCCCTCTATGCATCCCGGCCTCTGGTAACCACTATTCTACTCTACACTCTGTGAGACCAACTTGTTTAGATCCTACATGTAAGATCACGCTTTACTGTGTCTAGCTTATTTCACTTAACATGATGTCTTCAAGACTCATCCATGTTGTCACAATTGACAGAATTTCCCTCTTTTTATAACCAAATAGTATTCCATTGTGTATATATACCACATTTTCTTTATCCATTCATTCATTGATAGGCACTTAGGTTCATGCCATGTCTTGCCTATTGTGAATACTGCTGCAATAAACATGGGAGTGCTGATATCTTTTCGATGTAGTGATTTCATTTTCTTTGGATATATATCCAATAGCAGAATTGCAGGATCATATGGTAGTTTTGTTTTTTATTTTTTGAGGAACCTTCATATTCTTTTCTGTAATGACTGTACTAATTTACATTTCCATCAATAGTGTATAAGAGTTCCCCTTTCTTCTCATCTGTGCCAGCATTTATTTTTTGTTTTTTTGATAATAGCCATTATAACTGGAATGAGGTGCTATCTCATTGTGGTTTTGATTTGTATTTCCCTGATGATTAGTGATGTTAAGCATTTTTTCATATATCATATGCATATCTTCTTTTGAAAAATGACTATTCAGGTCTTTTGCCTAATTTTTAATTGATTATTTATTTATTTATTTTTGCTATTGAGTTGTTTGAGTTCCTTACATATTTTGGATATTAAACCCTTATCAGATGCATAGTTTGAAAATATTTTCTCCCATTCTGTAGATTGTCTTTTCACTCTATTGATTGTTTCCTTTACTGTGCAGAAGCTTTTTAGTTTGATGTAATTCTGTTAGTGTATTTTTGCTTTTGTTGCCTTTGATTTTGTGGTCTTATTAAAAAAAAACTCCTTGCCCAAACCAATGTCATAAAGCATTTCTCCTATATTTTCTTCTAGTTTTATCATTTCCAATCTTACATTTAAGCCTTCAATCCATTTTGAATTGATTTTTGTATATGGTTAAACACAGGGGTTTAGCTTCATTCTTTTGCATGTGGATAACAAAGTTTTCCTAACACCATTTATTAGAAGTCATCCTTTCTCTATTGTGTTTTCTTGGCACCTTTGTTGAAAGCCAATTGACTATAAGTTAGTGAATTTATTTCTGTGTTCTCTATTCCATTCGTCTATGTGTCTGTTTTTCTGCCAGTACCATGCTGTTTTAGTTACTCTAGCTTTGTGATATATTTTTGAAGTGGGGTAGTTTGTTGGCTCCAGTTTTGTTCTTTTTCCTCAGCATTGTTTTGGGATCTTTTGTATTTCTATACAAATTTTAGGATTGTATTTCTATTTCTGTGAAGAATGTCATTGGTATTATATTTTTTGATAGAGATTGCAATAAATCTGTAGATCACTTTGGATAGTATTGACATTTTAATATTAATTTTTCCAATCCATGAACATGACGTATCTTTTCATTTATTTTTGTCTTCTTCATTATGGTTCATCAGTGCCTTATAGTTTTCAGTGAAGAGATCTCTCACCACCTTGATTAAATTTATTCCTAAGTATTTTATTTATTTTGTATCTATTGTAAATGGGATAGTTTTCTAAAATTTCTTTTTCAGATAGTTTGCTAGTAGTGTATGAAAATGCTACGAATTTTTATATGTTGATTTTTGCATTCTGCAAAATTACTAAATTTATTAGTGTTAAGTTTTTTAGTGGAGTCTTTAGGATATTCTATGTATAAGATCATGTCATCTGCAAACTGCAAACAGGGACAATTTAACTTTTTCTTTTCCAGCTTGGATACCCTTTATTTCTTTCTCTTGCCTAATTGTTCTGGCTGGGACTTCCAGTACTGTTGAGCAGAAGTGGTGAAAATGGCCATTCTTGTCTTCTTTCAGAATTTAGAGGAGAAGCTTTCAACATTTTCCCATTCAGTATAATCTTAGCTGTGGGTTTGTCACATATGGCCTTTACTGTGCTGAGATAAATTCCTTCTATACCTAATTTATTGAGTTTTTGTCAGTAAGGGATGTTGAATTTTGACAAATTCTTTTCTGCATCTGTTGAAATGATCATATGGGTTTTTTCCTTCATTCTGTTAGTATAATGTGTCACATTTATTGATTTGCATATGTTGAGCCATCTTTGCATCCCTGGGATGAATCTCATGTGATCATGGTGATAATCTTTTTAACATGCCATTGATTCAGTTTGCTAGTATTTTGTTGAGGATTTTTGCATCTAAGTTTGTCAGGGATATTGTCCTGTAGTTTTCTTTTTTGTTATGCCCTTGTCTGGTTTTACTATCATGCTGATGCTGGTCTCATAAAATGAGCTTGGACATATTCCCTCCTCTTCAATTTTTTGGAATATTTTGAGTAGATCTGGTATTCTTTTTTAAATGTTTGGTAGAATTCAGCAGTGAAGCCATCAGGTACGAGGCTTTTCTTTGATGGGAGAGACTTTTTATTACCGATTGAATTTCATTACTTTTATTGGTCTGTTCAGATTTTGTATTTCTTCATGATTCAATCTTGGTAGATTATATGTGTCCAGGAATTTATCCATTTCTTCTAGATAATCCAATTTGTTGGTATATAATTGTTTATGGTAGACTCTTGTGATTCTTTGTACTTCTGTATTATCAGCTGTAGTCTCCTTTTTCATCTCCAATTTTGTTTGTTTGAATATTCTCTCTTTTTTTCTTAGTCTGAGTAAGGTTTGTCAATTTCACTTCTCTTTTCAAAGAGAGAACAAACTCTTTGTTTTGTTAATCTTTTGGGTTCTTTTAGGCTATATTTCATTTAATCTCTGCTCTAATCTTTATTATTTCCTTCCTTCTATTAATTTTGGGTTTAATTTGTTCTTGTTTTTCCTTGAGGTACAATGTTAGGTTGTTTATTTGAGATCTTCTTTTTTGGTGTAGGCATTTGTTGCTGTAAGATTTCCTTTTACAATCTCTTTTGCTGTATCCCATAGGTTTTGGTATGTTGTGTTTCCATTTTCATTTGTCTCAAGAAGTTTTTAAATTTTTCTGTTAATTTCTTCATTGACTCTTTGGTTGTTCAGGAGCATGCCTAATTTCCATATATCTGCAAGTTTTCAAAGTTTCTCTTGTTATTGATTTCTAATTTTATACCGTTGTGGTCAGAAAAGATAACCTGATATGATTTTAATTTTTAAAAATTTGCTAAGACTTGTTTGTGACCTAATATATCATCTCTTCTGCAGAATGTTCCATGTGCAATCAAAAAGAATGCATATTCTGCAGCCATTGGATAGAATGTTCGGTAAATTTCTGTTAGGTTCATTTGGTGTAGAGTGCAGTTTACATCCAATGTTTCTTTATTAATTTTCTGCTAGATGATGTGTTTTTTACTGTGAGTGAAGTATTGAAGTTCTCTACTATTACTGTATTGCAGCCAGTTTCTCCCTTTACATCAATTACTATTTGCTTCATATATTTAGGCACTCTGATGTTGGGTGCATATATATTAATGATTGTTACTGTCTTGCTGAATTGACCCCTTTATCATCATTTAATGACTTTCTTTATCTCTTTTTTATGGTTTTTAATTTAAAGTCTATTTTAACTGATAAAAGTATAGTTATTCCTACTCTCTCTTGGTTTCCATTTGCATGGAATATCTTTTTCTATCCCTTCACTTTCCAGTCTGGGTGTCCTTACTAGTTAAGTGAATGTCTTGCAGACACCATATAATTGAGTCTTTTAAGAAAATCCATTTAGCCGCTTTCTGTCTTTTAATGAGATAATTTAATCCATCTCCATTTAAGGTAATTATTGATAGATAAGAACTTATTACTGCCATTTTCTTAATTATTTTCCAGTTGTTTTGTAGATCCTTTCTTTTTTTATCTTACTGCCTTCCTTTGTGGTTAAGTTATTTTCTCTGTTAGTGTGTTTTGATTCTTCGTGTTTCATTTTTAGTGTCTGAGTCTCTTCTATGCGTTACTCCACAGGTCTTTTGCCTATGAGATAAAGCACCAAATTTCTCATCCTAGCATTAAGGCTGCTCATATTCTGATTTTAGTTTATCTTTACGGCTTCATTTTCCACTCTACAGTAATAGTCCCGCTCACTTGCCTCCTCCCCCTCAACTAACTTGTACAGAGTCTCTTCAAAATGTCCTCTTTTCTCCTCACCTGAGAAAAATTCTTCCAATCCTTTGACACTACAGCTCAGATGCTATCTCTTCCATGATGCTTTCCATCATGTTCCCTCTCTATATTTCTATAGCATTTCAAGACTGTATTTTTTACTTTATCATATTTTCATTTTTTTGACATGTACATATTCGACTATATGATGTAGGCTTTTTTGAAATTTTTTTCCTTCTTAGGTTGTAAAGTAGTAGAATGCAGACACTGAGTTTTATTTGTATCTTTATGTATATAGTAGGACCATGATACATGTTGATTGAATGATGACTTCTAGTAAAAAATGTCATTTGTGTAATAGAAAAGGATAGGATAAGTTAGAAAAGGATAAAATTCTAAATAAGTATATTAGGGTTCTATCTTTGCTGTTTCCACAAATGATTCTTTATTACTGAGTTGCTGTATATTCTCTGATTCTCAAACTAGAGACTTTCTTAGTACTTTTCTTTTTCAGGTAAGATACATAAAAGTGCAGAAAATACGATATGTTTGGAACAACTTAGAAGGACAATTCCAGAAAATTGGGTAAGTTGCTTTAGCAAGTGCATCCAAAGAAGAAAAATGTTATCTCAAAAACACTGTTGCTAAATATGTCTATCTCATTATTATTATTTTAGCTCTTTGGAAGACTGGCTCAGTTCTGCCAAAATACATCAAAAATTTGGATCAGGTCTAACAAGAGAAGAACAAGAAATTAGGTACCATGTTATTGTTGCCTATACTAGCTCAAAG